CTCAGCTCTCCCAATGGCTTTGCCATCTTTGGGTGTAGATTCTCCCCATTCCACTCCAGGGCTCATTCTGGATCCCTGGCCTCTTGGGAGGAGGCGGAGTCTGTCCTGCCCTGGCAGAGATGGTACCACAGGGGACTGCAGGATGCTTAACTGGTGCCTCCCAAGGCTTGGGCATTTTCCTGACCCCAGTCGGGCCGGCGTCTGGCAGATGAAATCCAGGTGCCCCCTGCAGGCTGGCCTGGCTACTGCCCCCGCCCCTGCCCCACCCTTGTAAGAAGGCAAATTTTGTCTAACTCTATCCTCTCAGAATCAGAGCGCCTCAAAGCAAAGATGGACTTCCTTCCTCATCTTATTTCCTTCTCTGGAAGCCTCTGGGAGGAAGTACAGCTTCGGGCGTTTCTCAAAGTGTGACATGGTCCCATTGGCAGAACATGACATGATTTTCGGGATGTTTCATTTATCTAGTTACACTGTATTTAATGTGTATCAGAGAAAATATAACTGGCATAGCAATCCCATGATTTCATTTATATTATTGTTTAGAATGAGCTCCAAGTTTACATCTGAACAGAAGTGAGTAAAATTTTTATTATTTTAAATTAAGAAAATATGATAGAGTAAAAATCTGGGAGGCTGCTGAAAAATGTCAGAGTCGGGAAATTCTGGGGTCCAAGAAGTTTGCTGGTAGGTGGATCTGGATGTGAATCCTGCCTCTGTGACATCATCTATGTCATGGCTGTCATTTCTGCCAGAGGGCTCCTTTGGAAAATTTGGATAACAGCCCGTTATGAAAGTCACTAGAGTAGATATATCTATCTGCCTGGCCATTTAGCCTGTGGCACAGCCTAGATGCCCAACAAATAGTAGCTCTATTTTACCGTGATCATTCATTCCTGGGTGTCTGACCTGTGCTCTGAGAGAATCAGTGGTTCCTTCCAGAGCCTCTGATCTTTTTCTTGGGATCCTTTTTCTTGTGCAGCTTTCCACCCGCCACCACATGTGTCTGATAGCCTTGAAGGTTTTCCAGGACTGTCATCTCCCCAACTTTCACCTGAGCCACCGTAATACATAGCTGCCTGCCTCCACCTTCCACCTCCCAGCTGGCCTCACCTGCTGGGGGCCTGACTCCTCCCCCTCTGCCAAGTCCCCTCCAAGCTCATGCCCAGACCTTTTTTGGACACTACCCACCTGCTCCTCTGTCATCAAGCACTCAGCTACAGGCACTTCCCTCCCCAGCCCCCGCCCATTGGTGACATGTCAGGCCTCTTCATGATTGCTCTGTAACTCTGAGTTCTGCTATCTGAATCCGTATAGGAATAAAGTTCCCTGGCTTTCATACCTTTCTGGGAGGGGGCAGTCAGGGAACTCAGATGCTGGGGTTTGAGACCAAAAACTGGCCTTCCTTTTCGACTAACAGTTCTGACTATTTCTGGGTAAGTGGACAGGGGATCCCAGCCGCCTTCCAGCTTTCAGACTGACGTGACAACAATTTAAGAGCTGTAAGAATTGGGAATGGGGTTCAAGACCATTTCTGATGGTATTTCCAGATAGAGAATCTCTTTCTCTGGCTGGCTGGAAAAGGCCAACATAATTTGGGGGCAAGTGGGTGAAAAAGGTCTCTCTCTGGCTGAGCCCTGGGAATGATCAGAATCACTAGACATCAAAGCAAATCACTAGACATCACCCATTACTCTCTTTGACTGCCTCCCCCTCCCCAGTGCTCTTTCTGACCATCCCAATTAAAACCGAATGAACCTCGCTAAACGCAGACACTTTTCATCCCAAACCAGGAGCGGTGGAAGAAGCCCCAGGCACTGGGTGAATGACGGAGCCTCAGTTGTGGAACGACCATTTATTGAGGGGCCCTCCATGGAGCCTAGAGCTCACTGCAAGGCAGGAAATGCGAGGGGGCTCTGCCACCACCCCCCTACCCCAACGCAGGAAAGAGGACGCAATGAATCCCAACAAGACCAGCTCAAACTTGGCTTTGGAAGCACTGAAGCAGTTCTCTACGTTCATAAACAGTCTGCTACCCCAGCCAGGGACAGACGCTTGCTTGGAGGACGGAGCCCAAGCAGAGAAGCAGAATGACAGAGTGACAGGATGAGAGAGGCAGAGGGACCCAGAAAGATCCTGTCCCCCATGCCAAGTGACACAGAAGAAAAAAACAATGCTGGAGGTGGCTCTGGGAAATGCTCAGGGGGTAGGATGGGTTTGGAAGGGGGGGCTGTGCTAAGGTGAAGAGGGGAAGGGCAGGAGAAAGATGGCGGGGGCTGGAGGGGGGAGGGGTGTGGTCACCAAGTGGCCAAGGTCCCTGCGCGGTAGAGGCAGACAGACCCCATCGCATTCCCAAACTGGCAGAAACATGGGTCGGGGTCAGGCAGAGGATCCCATAGGCGACAGAAGTGAGTGAGGAAGTGGGGGGATTAGAATCTGGGGAGAGGGGCCAGGAAAGGAGGGGGTAGGCTGGTGACAGGGCCCCATGTGGGGCCCCAGCGGTCATACGTGCCATGGTTGGCAGTGACAGCTGGGGGGGAGCACGGTCTTTGCAGTGTGGGGCGGCCCTAGGGGAAGGGGACCCCTACAGGGGGTACTCTGCGGGCCCGCGGGCCCCAGCCTTGGACAGGCCGGGGCAAGGGGCGCTGGGGGGTAGGCAGAGAGGAATGGGGGGGCCCCGTAGGGGGAGGGGCCAGGCGATGATGGACAAGGCCAGGACTGGCAGCGCAGGGCCGGGATCGGGGTCACGGCCGGGGCACTCACCGCTCTCCT